CCCCCCTTTTTTATTCCTCAGTCTATTCCCACTTGATAAGCCTTGATGTGGAATATACCACCTCATTTTGTGAGGTGCTCCAAGGGTTAATTGATATTTCCTGATGGAGAGGATTCACTGATCGCTCTCGCACATTTGACCGCGCATGCGCATTTATCACCACGCTGTATTGGCGTGCGTTCCACCTACTCTATGAAGTAAGCACACCCTGGTTGCCAGACAATATGTTTTATCATACTTTATCATACCATTTATTTATATTATATTATACTATATGTATTGTCCATTTCCACTATCTACTTTCAATTCAGAGACATACCTTCAAACAGAGTATAATTAAATTTAAATTTGAAAACACATATTTAAATACACATATTTTAACTCAAACCAGCAATTATCTGAAACATCTAGATCTGGGTATGTTTGCATTCATGTAAATAATATCATCATTCTATATTCAATAAATTATGGTTTACTGAGGTAATGTGCAAGGTTGGTGCGCTTTCTTTTTTGTTTCGCTTTTCAAAAAGAAATCTAGACCTGGTGTGCTGCCCCCTCCTTATAAACCAGACCATGACAGAGTCTTAAAGCTATATACTGTGTTGAATAAAAAGTGGTGAGACGATAGCAAGTCAGAAGATGAAAGAGGAGATGTAAATAAGACCCTATACTATTTGCACAAGGGGCAAGAAGTGATAGATAGAAAATGTATGGATATAGCAGGAAAGTTGATTGAGAGAGAGGGGAGGTTTTAGGTGTAGAGACCAGAGCAAAAGGAAGCAGTATGTTGTTTATCAAAATGAAACCTTAGTCAGTGATCAAGGCTATAACTTCCCAGGGCAAGTGATCCAAATTATATGGAAAGATTTAGCAGTTTTGCACTCGATATCACCCCCATGGTAGTGGGAAAGTGCAGAGATATAATGCCATCCTAAAAAATAATATGGCTAAAACATGTGAAAAGACAGCAGTAAAATGTACAGAAGCTTTGAGCCATTATGTCTATCAGATATACACCCAGAAGAATGTTGCCAAAACCAGACCTTTTCAAATTGCGAAACCAGGAAAAATGTCTGTTGAAGGTTAACTGTGACGCACTATTGGCAAATCAGGAAACACATGAAAGGTGTTGTTTTGTGCATGAATATTAGACGTTTACTAATGCAAAAGAGAAATGAGAAGAATTAGCAAGAGTTAAGAATCTAACTTTAATATCAAATATACAGTAAATACATAATTAACTTGCTACTGCTGGTGAAGACATTTTGATTTATGCCTGTCTGATGAACTCTCTAAGATTTCTTGGAGTAGCTACAGCAGGAAGTTGTTACTGTTTTATGACCTTGATCATCTGGTAGCATATGTCAAAGTTTATTCTATACCTTGATTGCTGTTTTTCTATATTGTGACATCACATATATGGCAATATATTCAAATACATTATGCAGTCAAAGTATTCCAATGTAGCATGTTTACCCCTAGCACAGGTGGTCAGACATTATAGCTGGCTTCTGTGTTCTTCATCTATAGCAGACTCCTTTCCCATAATGCAAGCAGGCCTTCTGGTAGTCAGTTGCCCCCAGGTCTTATACATCATGCTATAATGCCCGGCTACCACACCATGGCAGGTGTGTACTGAACACAGCAGTTAGGTACATGAGGTTGGCAGATAGGCAGTGTGGTTCATCAACAGTCCACATACAAGGCAGGCAAGGTTCAGAATAGTCAGGGTCAAATCCATAATCTAAAGGCAGGCAGAGTTCAGAGAATAATTCAAGTTTCAATCCGACGTCATACACAAGGGAATCCAAACAGCACAGCAGGGTGGACAAACAGAGAGCTTGAGGCATTTGTTACCAAGTTCCCGAAAGATAGCTACAGCATGGTCGGCTAGTTCTGGGAGGGTGTCCATGGACATCATCTCAGAACCACACCCCCGCGCACCCCCTGGGATGCGCACTGCATGCGATCCTTGCTCCGCTGGGTCCTTCAGACACAGCGGATCACATGACTAAGGAACGGGCCAATCACAACTGCTTTTACCATGTGACCACTGATCACAGGGTAAATAGGAAATGCTGGTTATTGGCAGTCCTCTCCTTATACTCACAGCGCATGAGAAGAGAAAAGCCGATAAGCGGCATTTCGCAGGGGGACACCTACACTGGGACACCTACACTGATCATCAGGGCACTGATTATCAGTGTAGCCCCATCAGTGCAGCCAATAGTGCCCATCAGTCCCATGTGTGCTGGAAATCAGTGCCCATCAGTTGAATCAGTGCCCATCAGTGCTCATCAGTTCTGCCTATCAGTTCTGCCCAACAGTGCCGCATAACAGTGCCCATCAGTGCTACCTATCAGTGCCCATCAGTGCTGCCTATCAGTGCATATTAGTGCCGCCTAAGAGTGCCCGTCAGTGCTGCCTATCAGTGCCCACCAGTGCCACCTAACAGAGCTCATCAGTGCCTCCTATAAGTGCAGCCTCATCAATGCCACATATCAGTGCAGCCTATCAGTGTCCATAAGTGACTCCTCATCAGTGCAGCCTATCAGTGCCCATCAGTGAAGGAGAACAATTACTTATTTACAAAACTTTATAACAGAAACTAAGAAAAACTTTTTTTCCCAAAATTTTTGGTCTTTTTTTGTTTGTTTAGAAAAAAATAAAAACCCCCAGTGGTATTCAAATACCACCAAAAGATAGCTCTATCTGTCTTAAAAAATATATACAAATGGGTATGGGTTTGGGTGCAGTGTTGCATGACCATGCAATTGTCATTCAAAGTATGAGAGCACTGAAAGCTGAAAATTGGTCTGGGCAGGAAGGGGGTAAAAGTGCCCAATAGCCAAGTGGCTAAACACAATATCACAAGCATGAGACTGAAGGCTTGGTTGGCTTGAATCAGGTTTGGTTTCCACCCAGAGACTGGGTACATGAATCACCTTGCAGGTGGACAGGCAGACAGGAAGAGTGCATCATATTCAAAACCAGGATGCTGGAATGAGACCAGCAGCTGTCATGGAAGAGGAGTGTTTATAAGATTCTGAAACAATGGGGTTTATTTACTAAAGCTAGAGAGTGCAAAAGCAGGTTCACTTCTGCATAGAAACCAATCAACTTCCAGGTTGTATTGCCAAAGCTTAATTCAACAAGCTGAGGTTAGTAGCTGATTGGCTACCATGCTCAGGTGCACCAGATTTTGAGAGAACCAGCTTTAGTAAATCTCCCCCAATGTCTTTAAATACTGTTGGCCAGTTATGTGTTGCTTCACTGTAAAAATATTCTTGTTACAAAAGCTAGTGTTCTTTCAAATAAATATGAGTGTTCCACACATGTATCAAACATTTTTTCTGTTCCACTGTAAAAACAAGTGGCTGAATTCCACAATAACATACTGTACATGTTGGCTTTGAAATACAAGCACAATTTATGCAAGGTTGAAGCAACTCAGGTTCAAGTTCAAGACATAATATACTGCTTGTTTATCGAATGTTTAGCATTTGTGAGATATTTTGTGTGGCCTGCACATTCTTGTCTTATTATCCTAATTTCTTGATCTTTCCCACCTTTCTATTAAGAAATTCAGAGTTTAACCACAAGGCAGGACTATGTGTGACTCTTTCACCCTTCTCTCTTAGCAAAAGCAATGGACCTATCAGCACTAAGGAGGGGAGAATCAGATGTTTCTGGAAAAAGGATTATTCTCAGAGTGGAACAGAGGGATGTGACGGGACTGTGCTGAGGAGCTCGATTTTAACAGAAAAAGAGCCTGTGTCAGATGTGGATTCTCCTTAGAGTGTGACTAGAGCTGAGTGTGACAGGACCATGTCAAGGAGTTCCATTTAAAAGAGAAAAGGCTTGTGTTACTGGAAGCCCACTGTCGTGTGAGAGACAACCAGAGGTTACAGACTGTGACCAGATCTAGTGGACGGACCATCTACCAGAGTCACCACAGACAACCCAAAGTGAGTGGATACCTGACTGGAGGGATCACTGCTGCTGTGTTTCTGGGTCCGGTGAGAGGTCCTTGTAGCCACTACTTGTTATCACCATTAGAGACTAAGCCATTACCTATCAGTTACTTCTCAGCCCTAATAATGCCTGCAGGTCTTATTGATGGCCTTAACGAGCCCCAACGAGTTCCAACGTTTAATTCAGCTGTAGAGTCAGTACTAAAAACTGTCCCTAACAGTTACTGCCCTCAGGTCTTGTAGTTGTTTTTTTTTATTTAAAGAGGTACATTTTGAGAGACCCTGCATGCCAGCCAATCCCTTATTGTTCTCCCATTGCTTATATTGGGACTTCAAAATGAACCTTTATTTTGTAGAGATGGCTGAGTATGTGAGTCTACATAGTTTGGCAAATGAAAACTGGGAAGGGTTGACAATGCTCAGTTCACAAAAATAATGTGTGTTGTTAGCCCACAACAGAATTTAAGAACTGACTGAATTTCTGGAACATCAAAATGTATTTTTCTGCACATGCAGGGTCTTTAACCACTAGCCTACAGGGCACTTATACCCCCTTCCTGCCCAGGCCAATTTCCAGCTTTCAGCACTGTTGCACTTTGAATGAGAATTGCGCGGTCATGCAACACTGTACCCATATGAAATTTTTATAATTTTTTTTTGAGACAGATAGAGATTTCTTTTGGTGGTATTTAATCACCTCTGGGATTTTTATTTTTTCTTAAACAAACCAAAAACCACAGAAAATTTGGAAAAAAAATGTTTTTTATTAGTTTTTGTTATACAATTTTGTAAATAAGTGATTTTTCTCCTTCACTGATGTGCGCTAATGAGGCTGTAGTGATGGGCACTGATAGGCTGCACTGATGGACACTGATAGGTGGCACTGATGGGCACTAATGAGGAGGCACTGGTAGGTTGCACTGATGGGCATTGACAGGCATCACTGATGGGCACTGAAAGGCAGCACTGATACGTGACACTGATATGTGGCACTGATAGGCAGCACTGACTGGCACTGATAGATGGCACTGATGCACACTGATAGGTGACACTGACTGGCACTGGTAGGTGGCACTGATTAACACTGATAGGTTGCACTGACTGGCACTGATGGGTGACATTCAAAGGCAGCTCAGATGGGCACTGATATGTGTCATTGATGTGCACTGGTATGCACTGATATGTGGCATTGATGTGCACTGATGGGCACTGGCACGTGGCACTGATGAGCACTGACTGCTGGCACTGATGGACACTGACAGGTGGCACTTCTGGGGCTACACTGATCATCAGGGCACACTGATCATCAGTGCCCTGATGATCAGTGTACATGTCCCCTCCACGGAAAGCCGATTACTGGCTCTCCTCTCCTCTCGAGCTGTCAGCGTGACAGCTCGAGAGGAGAGAAATACCAATAACAGGCATTTCCATGTTTACATGTGATCAGCTGTGATTGGACACAGCTGATCACATGACCGAGCCGACATCTTCGGCTCTTTCCGTGATCCGCGGTGTCCTAGGGACACAGCACATCGGCGATCGCCTCGCTGCACGCTCCCTGAGCCGCGCATGCGTGGTGAGAATGGAAGGACGTCATATGACGTCCTATCAGAACAAGAGAACCACCTTGTGCCCGTCATTGTACTATATGGTGGGCGGAAGGTGGTTAAAGGGGTAAACATGGGTAAATGTGCATGTATAGCAGAGATGTACTGCATATTTTTTTTCCCTTTATTTTGCCTTGACATACACGTTAAGTATGTCTTTGAAGTACAACCACACTTTTGACCTAACAACTGTAGCTAAGCCTCCCCCCACCCTTTCCCAGTGCAGTAACTTTCCATAGACTTAAGCTTAACCCCTTCACATTGACCATGTGCAAATGTGAGGCCCTGCTGGACTGGGGCCACTACTTTGCGTACCTGGATTTGTGCTGGGAGCATGCCGCGTGGCACATTCCCAGCACAGAGACCAGAGTCTCACTGAATGCCCTGGGTCCCGTTCTAACAATCAGGACCTAGAACACCCGATTTCGGGTCACCTGATCGCTGTGATAGACTCTGACATTGATCAGTCACTGTGAAGCCTGCCCTCGTGTTTTCTCTCTCTGAATGGAGGAGAGAGATACATTGTATCTCTCTCTGTCCTTTCAGAGAGAAAAGGAAAAACAAGTGTGTGTAAAAAAAAATAAATAAACAAAAACAATTAACCCCCCCCCCCCCCAAATTAAGGTTAGCGCCAGGGTTAGTGTTTGGGTCAAGGTCAGGGTCAAAGATCAAGGTCAGGGTCAAAGGTCAGGGCCAAGGGTCAAGGTCAGTTTTTTTGGGTGGGGGGTCAGGATTTTTTTCTTACATTTTTAAACTAGTATCTGTGCAACTTAGTGACAGGATTAAAAAAAAAAGCAAAATGGCACACTATTGTTTCTGGACCATACTACGAGTACAAACAACAAACACATGTGCGATATCACTGTGATTGTCGGAAGCAGGAGAAATTATTTTGGGTTGTTCTTCGGTGGTAGGTTATGGTAGTAGCAAGAAATATACAGCTAAATTTAAAAAAAAATTTGTTTTTCACTATTTGGGGCCAGGTTTCCTTTGCTAATAAAAAAACAAATCAGGAGATATCCATTACCATTTCCCACCAAATGAAAGCCCAATTTGTCCTGAAGAAAACATGTTATAATCCACCTGGATGCACAAAGTAGCTGTGATGATATGTACAGTTTTGGTAACACATGTCAAAGTTGTAAAATTGTGCTTAGGCATTAAGATTTGTTTTTCCCTTAGGCGCAAAGGGGTTAAGCTGCATACCCAACATAACCAACTCTGGAGAATCCTGAATGGAGGATATAAACTGAACAGTAGGCTGCACCACCATGGACAGATATGTATTCTCAGGGGTAGGGGGATTCTATGTTAAATTTGCTTAGGTGGCAATGTAAGGCTGGCTTTTTTCAGATGAAAAGTGTATTTGTCTTTTTGAATGGACACATACTGCAGGTGACTTTAACATCTGTTCATCCACAAAGGTAGAGCTAAGCACCATGTACTACAATTGCCATTGCTTTCAGCTTGTAGCAAACTCTTTAGCTCACATGCAATAAAATGATGTACTATTCGTAACTTCAGCATTGTTTGTGAATACAGCATAGTACTTAGAACATCACTATACCTGTATACTATGTAACACAATGTAAAAACATTTTCTTATGTGTGATTTTGGCTAGAACTCTGGATGAGAGCTGAGCATCATAGATATTGTAATGTAAGCTTTTGTATGAGTGAAGACAGTTTGAAACTCATTAGTAAATTAGGACTTTAGTTACAAACTCATGAATTCAAGTGTATCTATTCATCCTCTGCATTTCTAACAATGTAACTTTATTGCTACTACTGGAAACAAAAGCAGGACTGGTGAAGTATTATATGTGTCAGCTCTAAATGGACATAAATGAATAGGAGGAATTAATGTTAATCTGAATACAATAGGGAAATTCATGCGGTATAGCTCTGAAGAAGGAATAGTAATGCAATGTTTTGTTCCTTAGAGGAAAATGAAAACTCCTAAAATCTAATCAAGAGACTCTGATTCCCATTAAAATGAAATATTCCTAAATACTAATGATTTAGCAGAAATACTTTTTAAAGATTTTATGTAACTTTGGATCAGAGCACTTAGCTGCAAATGACTGTATTCATTCACATAAGCTGCAGCTGGTAGAATTTAATAAGATATACGAAAATAATCCTCACCAGAAATACAAAAAGATAATTACAATCCATGAGGAAAAACTATTTTCTTTTTCATGATTATTGAAAAAACTGCCAGTAAATTTGACTTAAACATTAGGGGGTTGTCATAAAAAAGTTGAATTATGCATCCAATAAACTCGCGATAATGTCGGTAATCTTCTGTTTGGATGTCTACACAAGGAAGGTAAATGCCATGCTTAAAATATATTTATAAGTAATATACATGCACATATGGGAATTTGCTGCTACAATTATTGGTCAGGGTCTCTTTAAGTATATAGATTCAATACATTACTAAACAATTGGGTCAGGAAATTACTTCTAGCTTGCTATCAACTAGTAATGATGTCTCAATATGCTGCTTACTACTGCAGACTGACACATTTCATTAGCTTAAAACTGATGTTTGATTGGCCTCCCAAAATAAGAGACGAATATTATATTTGATCCACACAGTTTAAAGGTAATTACTGTGTAAATACACAACTTAAAAGTAACAAAAGTCATTAGCATCCATATTGTAACTGTTTATTACATATATAATACAAATCAGACTTTTCTTTTGAAAAAGAACATTTTAAATGATAAAACAAATGAAAATGGCCCAGGCAAAAATGATGGCTCCCTTAATATTTTGTTGCACAATCTTTAGAGGCAATCAGATAAATTTCTTTAGCTCTCGAAGACAATTCTGCACCTGTCAACAGATAGTATGTCTCACTTTTATTGAGCAAACTGCTCTCAGGTTTGAAGTTTAAAGGTGCCTCCCAGACTGCTTGTGTCAGCTTTTATATGTCTGATAGGATTCAGAACAGGGCTCCTTCAATTGTTTTGTTCTTAGCCATACTTAGGAGCTTTTAGCTGTTTGTGATCATTATTCTGTTGGATGACCGATGACTTGAGACTGAAGCAGAGCTTTCTGTTGCTGGTCAGTATGTCTAGGTCTCAAACTCCTTGAAAGTCTTGAGATTTCATTGTACTCTGCACACATTTAAGGAACCCTGTGCTAAATGCAGCAAAACAGACCCAAAACATAACCTTCATGTCTCACAGTGGGTACGGTGTTATTTATTTTATTTTAATCTGATATGGTTGGCTGAAATTTCATTTAAAAGCTAATATGGCTGATAAGTTTTGTCTCATCTTTCCAAAGTCCACTCTCCCAGAAGTATTGTGGTTTTATGCATTTTAGTAAATGTCTAAGTAATAGTAGTCTAAGAAGTCTGTTTATTATGTTTTTGTTTGCCCTGGGTCTTCTTCCTTTGAACCCACCATTGTTCAAAAAGCAATGGATGGTGCGATCAGACACTTGATATTGGAGCTCATTTTGTATTTCTTTAGAAGTTTTTCACAGTTATTTGTCAACCTTTATCCTTCTGTTCAATCAGGGGGCTGTTTTCCACATTATAGGAAGATCTAGCTACTTGAAGATATTCTTAAAGTCTTTACTATTGACATACTTGTTTAAAATTTTCTTTTTATTTTCTCCATTTAAATAGGCTAACTTAATAATTAGAAAACTTGAAGTAATTTGTAGTACTGAATACATAAAGCAGTTTGAAATATTACTTCAATCCAGTTATTTCCAATCTTTTTTAGGGGTACCCACAAATCTGTCCCGGACATTTTTGTAGAACATGCAGTGTATCTGTTTTCACACTTTCTTTACTTTGTTCTTTGACATAGCAAAGGCATGCAGGTATACAGAAGTCAGCTGCATTTAATTTAATCAATTTTCGGTAGGAATAAAGAGTTGTTTCATAGAGCTGCAAAGGTAATAAAAAATGTGTCCACGACTCTAAGTGCATGCATGCTAAATTATGTGCAAGTGTAACACTTACAGGTATTTGTTACCTCTCACAGCGATTACAGTACTACCCTATACAATGCTTTTATCTGCTTTTTTATCCCAGAGAATGGCTCATGCATGTTTTGTTGTTATCTATGGACAGCATCTACCTTCTGGACTGAGGTGCTAGCTCAAAGATGGCATGTTCATGTAAATCTTGATGCTTTTACAGTTCTGAGCTGTATTTCCAAATGTCTGAAACAAATCAGTCCATGTTCCATCCTCTCACCCTGTGACTGGTGACCAAGATACACTGTTGACATCTGGAGGAGGCGAAACTGAGGAAAAATGTCGTACAGCTTACAGCAGACTGATGACATCATCTCAATCTAGACAAATGCACTTGTCTGGATCAAAATGTTTTAAAGTGACCGTAAAGGTATTTTTTTTTAATAACAACCATGTCATACATACCTGTTCTGTGCAATGATTTTGCACAGAGCAGCCCTCCTCTTCTTGGGTTCCTCACCAGTGCTCATGGCTTCTTGCCCCTGCCAAGTGCCCCCATGACTTGCGGGCTGGTTCCCAAGCTAGCCTCTGTGTGTTCATTTACACACACAGCATGGCTAAGCCCAACCCCCTGCTCACTCCCCACAATGGATCCCACTGCTGCTTCCATGTACAGTGAGGAGAGAGAAAGAGGGGAGAGCCACTGATCTTGGGCACAGCCCTGGATTGAGATTGGGTTCAGGTAAGGGGGGCGGCTGAATGCAGAAGTTT